TAATTTTGACAATCCCCCACATACTCTTGCTGGCTTAAATCTTTCACCGCCTGGGCTCCCTCAAGTACTCTGACTGCTAAAGGAAGGATACTCAAGGTCCGTGAACAGTAGACATCTCATAACTCCATCAGGCTCTGGCACGTTTTGTATGAGCCTTTCGGGCGGGGGTACCTACCTGGTGACTACCCAAACTGTCCTTGATTATTCTGCTCACGACATGGAAGGTTTGTCTGGTAGTTGCACCTCCCAGAGGATATTATTCTTAAAAGCTGTTGTCAGCAATTGTCGAAAAAAGCAGGATCTAGCCTTATTCAATATTCTAGACTACGGTGCCCCCACAGCAAGTACTACTCACATGGCCTGTATTCGCGGAGCCCCTGCATCCATTGGAAGCATAGCTGAGGAGCAAGAGCGAGGGGATAAGGTTCCTAATTATTCAGACTTCTACACTAAGCCCCTTAGCCCGACCTTTGGTATGGGAGACGGCTGAAGGGCTCGTTGAAACAGGTATCGGACTTCCAGAACTGTACGGTCCCCGCTGAGAATCTGAAGACATTTTTCAGAAACTCCCCTTTTAGGAGCCCTAGGACTCGACTCTGAGGCAGTATGATGCTGGAAAGGGTTGTGGCTAGAGTTGTGAAGGTTTGGGGTGAGGGCCCGCAGTCTTCCTAGAGTCAGGTGCCAGCTTCTTATTGTCCTTTTATACGTACTAGTACAAGGCACCTCAGCAAGCATCAAATGATAGTGGAAATTACTTAGGCTCTGCAGCACACTTTAGCTTCAGAATGCCTGAGTGCGGTTTCAGCTTCTGCGCTTTCCGTGTTTGAGGGTTCCATGATCACTGAAGGGCTACAAGCCGTGTCCCTCCTGCATGTGCGCACTTTGAGCCTGAAGATTTGCCGGCAAGTTCGACTGCCAAATATCAACAGATTCAAGTCCCTAGGTGGTTTAGCCTGAAAGGCTCTTCTGATTCACCTGCTAGACAACTCTTGGTAAGAGCTTCCGTGAGGGCTGCAGGATAATCCTAGTCCAACCAGATTAAGAACAAGAATGCAAGTCCTGAACACCTGAAGTAATTCGGCCAGACTGATGTTGCCTGATCGCGCTTACTTTAGGCCCTGCAGGTTTCCTAAACAAAACGGTGCAACGGGTTCCGGTGCTCTGACAGTTGCTTGCGAGGCTTGTCAAATCACTGCCTCAGATTCCACTCCTGCCAGTCGAAGGCCTTCACATCCATCTCCTACAGAGGCATGGCAACCTAGCAGCAGCAGCCCCAGCAGTTGTGTCGTTCGTTGGGGTTGAGGATTCGTATTTGGCAGGGAATGAGGGAGTGGATCCCTGCGGCCACCGCAACCCCAAAACAATCCAATCCATTCCCTCACTGGGACACGCCTGTCATGAAGTTTGTGGAGACCGACATACCTGGACGCTCGGGACTTCATTGTTAAGCCGGCACTCGCCTGGCCGCAATATGCTGCAGGGGTATGGCTGTGGAATATCAATGTTGGGCAGTGAGGTTATCCAAAGTGATCGAGCAGCCTCACTGGAAAATTCCACCTGTCCCACAGAACAGAGGAATGGGTCCCTGTAGCAATCCCAAAAGAATCCCTGAAAACCCTCTGCTTGGAGGGCGACGGGCCGCTTTCAGCAATGTCTTGACCCCAGATGCCTCCATTAACCTCCCTACAAAGTCCCAAATAACCACTCTAAACCCTAAACGCTAAACTCTTAGTGCTAAACCCGAGAATTCTGCTGATGCTTGGTGCAGACCTCCTTTTCAAGTGTTCGGGCTTAGCGTTTTGGGGTTTGAAACCCCATTTGAAAGCCAGGCAGGCATAGCCTTTAACGGTAATGCTATCTAGAACAGCACGTCCAGGGGACTATGGGATGTCAATTTGTTGTTGAAACTTGGGTTGCTCCTACCCTAGTACTAAAAAAAACATGGAGCACTTAGGGCCCATTGAGAGATTATCTTTAGGTTTAGTTAGGGTGTAGGAGAATAGCTAGAGAAACTCCTGCTGCACTCACCACCTCAGCCCGCCTCTGTGAAGGGCCCATGGCGGAGAGACATAGCAGCGGCTGCTAGCAGGCCATGATCTTACACTTTTCATAGTAAAGAAACCATGATAGTTGCTACATACCGGTACTATAGCAAGTTCCTTAACAGCATCTCAGTACAGTTTGGGGCCTAGGGGTTGCAGGGATTCCGTGAGAGCAGATGGGCTTCCAGGGCTTGGCGTGCTAAACAGGAACTGAAGTTTTAATGGTGGGGGGGCTGCAGGCTCACTTGGGCAGTGTGAAAGTTTGCATGTCAAAGCCCTAAACCTTAAACCGTAAGCCCTCACCCATGAGCATCACATGGCCACAAAGGAACATGGAGCACAGCAGTCAAGTTTGTTCAGTAGCTTGGCACATGGAGCTTGGAAAGTTGCTCCAGCCCTACCTAGCTACACAGGGACTGCAATGATTATATGAGAGCTTAAGGGGTTCCGAATCGAGCATGTGCAGCCGAACTCGGACTGCGACCAGGGACATCAGTTTGAGAGCAAGCTCCGACCCTAGAGTTTTTCGGAAGTGGATCAGGAGAAATCTCATGAACAGATATCAACAGATCCTTGTGCCATCCTGGAACTGCCGCTAGCACCACTTACCCCCCTCCCTTTTATGGGACCTCCTAGCAGCCGGTGCAATGATGTTTGCAAGTACACACTAGAAGCCCGATTTTGTTCGCAGTGTTGTGCCGCTGTTGCTGTCAATCCGCACGCTTTAGGGCGCACGGCAAGGCCACGGATGTTCCCATGGCCAAGTGGTCCCGCAAATGATTCAAACAACGAGGTTTTCAACAGCAGCTGCCTCCAAGCCATAGCAAATGCAGGAACCCTCCAAGGTGACGCCCACGCACTCGACATCCTCGAGCTGCCTGAATTTGCCCTCAACTCCCAACAAAAAGCTTAGAGGTACCCTAAACATTGGGAATTAATATAGCAGAATGTACCAAAGTCATGCCGGATTCCTAGACCCTCCAACTACCCTCTCTTCAGGCCTAAGTATCTGCAATTAGGGGCTCTATAAAATCCCCTAAACTCCCTAAACCTTAAACCTCAACTCTAAACCCTAAGCCAGTTGCCTTGTGCAGTCCCCAGCCATGAGTGGACGGAGCGACAGCTCTGGGAGCTGCTCCGTGGCTTCCAGCCACTGCTGGGCCATAGTGGCGTTGGTTACCTACATGGGAGGTTATGTGGGGGATAATGGAAAAGAAAATGGAAACTACTATATTATAGGGCTAGTATAGGGTTATGTGGGAGGTTCTATGGGGGATAATGGAAAAGAGAATGGAAACTGCTATACTATAGGGTTTTACAGGGGATAGTATGGGGTTATACAGGAGATAATGGAAAAGAAAATGGAAACTACTATTTGGGGTTGAGGGGTTTATAGAATTTTGGGTTTAGGCACGCGCATCGCGCTCGGCAGGCACGGTTCGTTCCAGAGTGCCAGCAAAGTGTTTAGGGTTTAGACCCAGGGTGACTTGGTAAGAGGGTAGGGTTTAGCGTGATTAGGGTCTACACAGTTTAGACCTAGTCAGTACTGGGCATGTCCGCGGTTGTTATGTGGCTTATGAGTCGCCCTTGGGCCCCAAAGTAGGGTGTAGGCTTAGCAAATAGAAGGTTCAGGGTCGGTGGGACCCTCAAGTCGTGCACTAGGGTTTTGCGAGAGCCTTCAGGGACCACCGTATCTACATGTCGGGATTTTCTGAGCTATGTATTGCTATTCATTCCGCGTCCGACTTGCTTCAAACATTTTAAGCTCTAACAAAAGACCCTCGGCAACCCAGTGATATGTAGGGATCAGGAGGAGATATCTGGGTTCCCCTCCGAATTTCACGGTAAGTATTTTGAGAGATACATACCTGGCACTTTCTCAACGAAAAGGGCCCTTTTGGAACCCACACAAGGAACGAGATCCTTTGTATCAGGGCTCCTTTCAAGAGAATCAAGCTTTTGTGGCATTCCAACCTGCGCCTGGCTCCTCAATGCCACAACGTGCTCCCACAACTTACGGAACTTCTGGACTACTGAAGAGTCCAGTTTCAGGCTTGATGTTGCTGTAGTCTTTGCAAGGACTACAGGATCAAGGATGCGCTGGTTGACCTTGAAATCCAGGTTCTGCAAGACTGGGCCAAAGTCGAAACCAGTCGTTGGGTGTAGCAGACGCTTGTCATTGGGGCCGAGGGACCAAACCAACACCCATCCGCGATTCAGGGCCCACGTCTGCAAACTTACCCCCAGCGGCGTGCCAAACAGCACCGGGAAAGAACCAATCAAAAAGCGGATCGCAGTAGGATAAGCTAGCTTACCTAGCCGTGCCCCCTCGAAGTATTTGAGGAAGGAACTTCCAGAGACAGGGTTGGAGCCCCATGGAGGCTCCAGCCTCTGAATTGTGGAGTGGAGGAGACCACCTGACTCCCAGAAATCTTGGTTATGAAGGAATAGATGAAGATTGTGTTGAAAGGTGCCCAACTCCTTGAAAGCAGTCATCGCGCTGCAGTTGCAGGAGAGTCTGAGCATGGGAATACCCTGTCGGTTGATGCAGTACGCCTGGAAGAAGCCAGTGTCAACGGGAGACAGCACGGTGCTTTGAGAAATGTACTTTCTGGCAAAGACCGCAGACACATCCCCAAACACGGGACTTCCTGCGTTGTTTCAAGAGGGGTTCGGGCTTAGGGTTTTAAGGCTTAAGGCTTAGGGCGGAAGGCTCCGTCAATAAAAATGAGAAAAGTGCTGCTGCAAGCGTCTAGGAAGAGAAGTCCACACGGGCCCCTTTCAAAAGGCCAGTCGTCTTTGGGGGAGTGTAACTCATCATCCACTGCTATCCGTAAATCTTCCAAAACCCCTGAACAACCCGATGTTGATAACGCTTCAGCTGCACAGTGATCATATACGCACCCTGTGTAAATTCATGCATGTAGCAAACTATCTGCACATGTAATTGCGGATATGCAAATGCCCAAGACTGCTCAAGGTCATGTACCCCGTTTCAGTGCGCAGCCTCAAACCTAAAATTCAAAAACCCTAAGCCCCTAAACCCTACACCCTAGAGGTCCTGCATCGATCATGTTTAGATTGACCATAGAATAGACTGGCCGCTCAGCCGCCTCCTGTAGGGTCGCTGGGGCACCTGGGATACGAGGATTTTCAAGCTTTAGTATGGCAGCTCTGGGGTCTAGGTTTTAGGGTTTATGGTTTAGCATCTGAGTAGTAGCTGCGACAGAAAGAAAGATAGCAGGTTCGATAAGTAGCGGGCTTCGACACAGACCCCAATTCATAAAATTCCTGGTCCTTATTATGGGAACTTTCGAAGACGCCATTAACTCTTGGAAGCTTGTAGAACAGGTCTGTTTCAGAACCACCGCTGTACATCAAGAATTCAAGATCCCCACATCTCCCGTATACTCTCCATAGATACTTGACCTGGTCCCTGGGGGTACTCCTGTGTTAAGAATCCGCACTTAAACCATGACCCCTGAAGCCCAAATCCTGAACCTTGGACCCCTACACCCTAGACCCTCCTGAACCCCCACACCCTGAATCCTAAACCTAAACCCTATAACCTTATAACCCTAAACCCTAATTAATCCTGATTATGGGGACCCCTGAAAAGGCAAAAAACACTGAAACCCTTGCTTTTCCTTCAGCCCACCTGGAAGGCCGAAAGGCTTGAGCTTGTATTGCGAGGTCTCAGCAACGTCCTGGTCCCTGCAAGGCGGTAATGGTAATTTCTAGTATATATGCCGAATTTATAGGGTTATATGGATTGTCTAGGGATAATGGAAAAGACCATGGGCTTAGGGTTTAGCGTGTAGCCTTGCGGGTGTCTGAGGATCACGCAGAACCAGTGAAACTATTTAAAAAATCGGGATTGTATGCGCCATAGTCTAAACTCCTAGTATCGCCAGTAATAGCCCCTATAATACTCCCCGATATAGTCCCCTCTTTCCCGTTTGATGAGTTTAGACTATAGCTCACATGAAGGGAACATAGTGGCCTAAGTGATCAAAGCCAAAGAAATCAGAGCATGGCTTTGGCATGTGGTATACATATATGAGCTATAGTCTAGACTCCTAGTATCCCGATTAGTAGCCCATATAATCGAGGGTTTAGGGTTTAGGGTCTGAACTCCTAGTATCCCCCTTAATCACCCTCATAATTCTCCCCTAGATAACCCCTTCAAGGAGTTTGGACTTTAGCTCAATTAAGGTTTGAACAGGAATTCTATTGACAATCGTTTGGGCTTCTACGTTAGTTGGCCTATGGCTCAGGTTCTTGGGTCCCTTCAGGATCTTGCTCAGTCGGCCAGGGGGCATGAGCAGATATACGAAACGACTCTTCTCCTTCTCAGATTACCCTGAACCCTAAACCTCAGACCTTAATCCCGAATCCCTGAGGCTCACGGCTCAGGGTCCTGAAAGACTTGGTGTTGTTGTGCGTGACAAACCTATGGCATTCCCCATCTGCCACATAGACTGCAGAAACTTGCGGCGTCTCTGCCTTAACTGCACTTCTTCCAGCAAGAAAGAGAATTCCATGTTGTAGTTCTATTGAGGTTTCGGAAAAGCAACGGCCCTTCTTTGGCGTCCATATTGGGGCCCCTGTCTATGGAAAACTGCCAGGTTCTCAGGAAGGTCATGCCCCAAGAGCAAAAAAAGAAGCACTGCCAGTGACCCAGTTGCAGGGCATGGGACTTTCGTGGGCGCAGCTCTAGCGCCCAGGAAATAACTCTCAACGTCTTCGGAAAGGGTATTCGTTGTCCAAGCGGAAAACTGCACAAGGCCTTTCGCTGCTGTCAATCGCATCGTCACGGGAAGACCGGCCAGCCGGTAGCACTGATCGAGTGTGAAGAACTTTGTGGGCATTGGCATGCCGGAGCATCCATTCAACCACTCCTGCACTTTCACTTCTTGAAGGGGATGATCCACAGAAAAAGCCTTGTAATTGGCCACAATCTGATGCCACGCCTTTTGTGGATCCTTGGAATGCAGCAAAATGGCCTCCCAGTCATTCAGGAAGAAGGAGCCCTCCAAGCCCAAACTGATGGACATGCCGGGCGTGTTCCCCTCGTCTGCTGGGTCGTGTGCTGCTGGAAACCCGGAAACAACTTCAGCAACCTGCAGCTGCTCTGACAACTTCTCCAAGAGAGCTCTTGCTGGAAGTTCCACTAAGGAAGGGCAACAGGAGGCTAGTTTGGCACGGAACTCCTGAGAGTCAAAGATGGCTAAAATTCTGGGCTCTGCTGCCTCTGATAACTCTGCAGCTCTGGCAGTGACCTCATTGAAAACTCTCTGCTGCCAGGCTGTCAGCTCTGGGCCCATGGCGCCAGACGAGACGATCAGCAACCATGGTAGGCTGAAGCGCATCCTGCTACTGCTCAGAAGTGGCAGGTACTTGAGGGCAAAAGCTTGAGACGCTCTCCGCATTGCCCAAGGGCTTAGAAACACAGCGCCCCTACAGCCGCAAGAAGTTCTTGCCAAGAACTCTCAACCCAAGCAAGAACCCTAGCAGCAACCCAGTTTTTTCTGGCACTTCCGAGCCGGAGCTCGCATCCTCCATGGGCTCTGTCCCCCTGCAGATTCGGACGTCCAGGAATTCTCTGCCATCCTCACCAGTGAGCAGTCAGGTTCTCCAAGGACAATGGCACTTGTATAAGGGTGCTGATGCTGACAGCCCGCGACAAACTGAGATACTAGAACGCCAAAAAATCCAGGGTATAAGATCGGTCGGTTCATGCAGGATTTCAATCTCAACAGTATGGACCCAGGCGGAAGGGGAGGAAGACCTGAAGGAGCGCCTTGATTGAATGCAGACTCTAGCATGGTCCTGTGGACTAAGGTATCCTTCTAAACTTTTATCATCACCCTTAAGTAGATAGAGTATGGGGTATGTGGGGATCTTAATATGACATTTGGCAAGTCCATATTCTATCTACTTAAGGGGGACTATAGATGTTCAACTTCCTGGTGGGTTGTGGGGAAAGAAGGACTTGAATGCAGAGAGTATCACTGCTATTAACTTACCTTTGGTTTGCTAGGAATGAAGGAACCATATAACCCGTTATTGTAGTTTCCGTCGTCTTTTGCATTCCTTCATTCCCACCCTAAGCCCTAAAGTAGTTTCCATGTTCTTTTCTATTCCTTCATTCCCAGGTAACCGAAGGTAAGCTAGGGGTTATCAACCCGTCCAGTCCCTACTACCTACCAGTAAGTTTAGGACTTGGGGGTTTCCCTAATTTAGGGGTACCTTTTGGGGGTCCCGATTTTCATGATCATAGTTTTGGGGGTCTATATTGGTGTACCCCTATTTTGGGAAACTATCATTTAGGGAAGCTTGAACGAACTGCTGGTCCCTGAGGACGCATTCATGAATGTTTTTCCAACACACAACTGGGCAATCCTCCACAGACTCTGATTGGCGCTTGCAGTCCCATAGGAAGCATTCCTGCCCTCAAAGTAGCAAGCCACTGCGCCCAAAGCACAACACCCAGGAGTCCTCATAGAATGCTGAAATTCCCACGCACTCGATCTGCAGCTTTCTCTTGCGGAGCTTGACACCTCAGACCCTAAATCCTAGACCCAACCGGCCCAGACTGTAGACTGGCAACCCAATTTGCAGCACCATGGGGCTTAGCATCTACTTCTACCTGGAGTTACGACAGCTATAACTGCGGCTTAACTGTTCTATCTTGTAACCCTACTTGTACTGGAGTAACCCCCTTTAAGGCCCATTTGGCTGTTTATGAATAGAATTTTTTTAAGCCCAGTCATAAGCAGGTACTGAGTCCCATGAACCTCTAAGTAAACCTCTGAAGCCCGAAGCCTTCAAGCCTTGAAGCCTAAACGCTACACACACTCACAAACCACATCAGTGGCTTTGTTGCAGTCTATTCTCCAGTGTGTGCGATTCGCAGGAGTACTGCTGCGGCAACTGCTGACAGGTGATTGTTCTTGGGCCCGCTTTTGAGATGAATGCCGTAAGTCTATGCTGCGTTCAAGCTTGGCAGACTTTTTCCCCACTCATGGAACCTGTGATGAAATATCAAAGTTTGCAAATTTACCCAGCATATGACATGAGCTTGTGGGGCTTGCATCTCATTGGTCGGGGCCGACAAACCCGCTTTTTTATCCTCTACCCACAATGATACCCCCCCCCCCGACACTATTAACAACCACTGTTCCCATCTATAGGTATATTATTCCCGAATATATCATCATAATACATGACAGGAAGGTATGTCACTAGGAGGGGTAGGGTTTCTATAATTCGGGCTGGGCGATAGGAAGTTGAGCTCCCATGCCTCTGCTATGACCGGGCTGGGCTCCTTCTTGCTGCGATTGCGATAGGGGACTTGAAAGCTGCACGGCTTTGGGTATGAATCTTGGGGTGTGGCAGGTATCCTTCTTGGGCTTAGTAAGTTGCTTGTTTTAAACTACCTCAAGCATCCAATCAGCTGGACTTGCAAAGCTCCTCCTAGAATGCCCAGATACCCCCACGAGCCCTAGCATCTGGAACATGCGGGTTTCGGGCTTAGGGCTCCCTATCTGGGGTTCCTGTCATCTTTCTTTAGGAGGACTCTAATCTAAGGCCAATCTGCTTAATGGGCTCCAGAGGAGCTGCCTACTTCTATGAATCAGTATTTCTGCAATGTGTCGAGGTTCGGCTGACTGAGCCCCTGACCTTGATACAGTTGATGCACAATATCCTTAACCAGCAAAGGATGCTACACTACTACAATCTCAAGTGCGTTTTCCCTCCCGCTTGGCTCGAAGCATGCAGGGCAGACAGGTACCAAGAGCGCATGACATGCGCAGGGCTTAGGTTCATGGCATATGGGTTCATTCAGGATCTGGACCATCATCAATAGCTAGCCAAATTCTGACAGAGAGCAGCTTAAGATGTTGGATCAACAAAAGCCACACTGGCCCGTCAGAGCAGTCGTCACTTTCATTAGCTAGTGCGGCCGCTGCTGGGCCAAATGCTGCATGACCTCTACAGGGTATACTTAACTCATCTTAGTTACATACTGTTGCGCTTCATGCTTGTCGTCGTCCAAGCTCTGCAGGGATCATTTCCTTGGTCTTTCTTTGAAAGTAAAAAATACGTCTGAAGTCGGCACTCATCTCGAAACGCCGCAACCTTGGAGCAGCCCTGAACCGTAAAATCCCGCCAACTACTGCCCAAGACGATTCCTCCCAGATCCTAAACCCAGCTAAACGCTAAACCCACCTGAATGCCAAACCCTAAACGCCACCCAAACCCTAAGCACTTGCCGTTTCCGCCGTCCCGGCATCCTCTGGGTAGTGCTCTGCGAGCGAGCTTGTCGCCCACAACAGGCGTTCCCTGCCTTGGCTGCTTTGGTCGCTGAAAGCTACTCTGAGAATCATGTAGGATGTAGGGACATTAAGTTCCCATAATCAGTACACAGGGTTTATAGGAATTAGGGTGAGAAAAATGTATGGGCTTGGGTTAAGGAAACATATGCGGGGCCTATGATTAGGGCTGTAGGTTACGAAGAATGGAGCATCAAATTGAAAATATGTCTATGTAGGGGTTAACGGCGATTGTAATGTAGGGAAGCCTTACGAATTCCCAAAATAATTCGCAGTCTGTTTGAGGTACCCTATACAGTAACTATACAAGAAATGTAGGACAACAAGGCTTGGTAATTGTCTGAGAGTGGGGTGGATTCCCAGAAACCCCCCCAAACAGGGCAAATGCCCTGGGCGGGACGCCTTCAGGACGCCTTCAAGACTATCATGCATAGGAACCTGATGGTTCTTAGAGGGTCTGTCCTACTAGGGGCTTCATTGGGATTACATCAGGGAATTGTATAGGGGCATAATATAGGGGTTATATCGTGATAATGGAAAAGAAAATGGAAACTACAATTTATGGTATGCAGCCTTGGGTGACCTACAGGTTTAGGGTTTAGGGGCGTGTTGCCACTTGCAAGGCTTTAGGTGGAAGGCTTTTTGTCATGTGTGAGTTTCGCCCTACTGTAGGGCTTCTCAAGATCGAGATCCCTTTTACGGGGCCTTGCGCGCGGTATCCTATAACTCTAACTCTAGAAGCGAGTTTCGACAAACACCTGACTGCCAGGCCATGAGTTCGAAGGCACAAAGTATTATGGCGGAACAACGCGGAATCAGCCCAACACCTCGTGTGGTACCACCAGCCGACGTAGGTTCCAAAAAAGCATGGAATGGTTCTGCAGCGAATCAGAAATAGAACATGAGTTTTGTGCACTACAAGATGTGGGTGACTAACGTTGAGTACCTATGCATGCTCCCTGCATGATATGGAATGAATACGTACGTGCACGTCGGTAAGATACCCTTCGTAGCTCTTCTGGGAAAGTCCAACGACTGTGCAACATGATCTCAGCAAACCTCCACAGATGGCGCATGCAAACGGATGCGAATGCTTGTGAACAGAGTCCTAAGCATCCCGGTCTGCACCCTCACCCTGCAGCATTCGGGCTTGAAGCCTGTTCACTCAATAGCAGCCAAGACGCAGTCGCATCAAGTGGCACAAGGAACCACAGCACCTAGCAAACAATAGCAAGCACACATCGCAGAACCTCAACATGATTGGGGATTAAGGCCCATCTCGCAACCCCAGACGCTAGACCCTAAACTCCTCCACCATGGGAACAAGTGGGACTCGATGCCAAAGTTGCTGACATGGCTTTGGGACTTTTGCTCGCAGTGGTTAATGTAAAATCAAGGAGCACAAGAATCTCAATGCCTGAAACAAAAGCATTCCGTAAGCACTGTCTATATCAACCACCGTCTGGGGTGAGGTCCGGTCAGGTCCTGTCACATTGCCCTAGACAGGATGCTACAGGATCGTTTCCTCCATTGTGTCCTAACCACCGGTAAGTTTACCACAGCAATTGTCCCGTACTTAGCCCTGAACCCCTAAACCTTCACATCAAAATCTCCATGTCTACATATGCTATATATAGACATATACAAACGCTTATCCCTACATATCCCTGTGCCCCTTATCTGAACCCTAATTCCTGGATGCTTGCACGGCCACCGTCCCGACGAGGCGGTGGTGCGCAGGTCAACAACGCTGGTCTCGTCTTGAACGTCAACCTCAACACTTTAGGGTTCAGGGTAAAGGGTTTAGGGTAAAGGAAGCAACTTCGATCTTGAGGTTTAGCTGCTGGAATATAAGGAGGAAACCCATTTTGGGCTATGCCCAACTTTAAGGGCACATGCAGCTCGGGAGATGCGTTGAAGAGGGTAGATGTCCATGAAACCTAAACTCTAGAAACCCTAAGCCCTAACCCTATAAACTGTAAATCCTAAACCCTAAGCTCTAAACCCTATAACCCCTAAAACCATAAACACGGGGGTTTCTCAACATCATAGGTCCCCATGTGGGATGCCTGCAGTACGACTTCGCATGTTTCGTTACTCCAGATGAGAGCCGATTTAGGGTTGTAGGGCTTGAGGATTAGGGCTTTAGGCCTTGAGGGTATCAAGGTTCAGGGGTTTGGGTTTTAGGGTTTCAGGGCTTAGGCTATTCATGAGGGTTACAGCATTTTGGGTGTAGATCGGCGGGTCTCCCTAGTGGCGGAAATCCTCCCACATAAGCATACCCGCATGTAACTACAGCGGTCTTTTCAATCAATTAGGACAGTTTCTTGATAGGACAGTTTCTTGAAAGATGCATTTGTTACAAGACCTATGCTACAGTCCTCACTAGAAAGCCAGATGACAGCAGTAATGCGTTACAGTGCCTGGGCGGATATCAAGACCTTTGTTCTCGTTCGGGGCATCGTTGAGATGATGCGCATCAACATGAGGAATCTAAGCCAAGAAAGTACCATACTTTCTCGCGGGCCTTTCTATCTCAGGATCTTCGCGCAGGTCATCCTACCCTGGAAAGCGCTTGGAAGACAACATTGTGCTGCATCTTGATTGCGTGTTGCACAAGGCACCTGGGACAGGCATCATGGCAACAGCGCAGGTGGCTGCCCGAGCAACACTTGCGAATGAAAAAATAAATCTTGGCACAGCAAAACTGCCACATAATTAGCCGATGCAGCATTCACTTCACTCCTCATTGTTGTGTTCGTCTCTTGTTTCGTCTCCGGTGCTTGCGCGGCTCCCTCCCCCCCCTCGTCTTGTTTTTTTCCTTTGGGGGTGCGGCACCTGCACCACTGCCTGTTGCATATGGCCTTGAGCACGTGGGTTCTCTTCCTGTCTCGGGTCCCGTGTCACGAAAGGAAGGCTTTGGTTCTCTGTGATGTCCGTCAATCTAAGGCAGGCTTGGTGAATGCTCTCATCGGATGGCTCGAGGAAGAGAAGGCGGTCACCCCCATACACCACAGTTGTGTGTCGCTCAGGAATTTCCCAGTCACCTGACAGCCCGAGTCCGTTATGGATCGCTGCAACAGGGCTGACCATGTAGGTATGGCGCATGTTCATGTACATCAGCTTGAGGACTGGCCCATCCTGGAGAAAAGTCCATCTTGCTGGGTTACTGATCGCCTGTTCCAGCAACGCTTTCGCCTGCAACACAGTGCACATTGCTGCAGGATGGGCGTTAACAGGATACCTGTACTCACGTACAGAACGCCAGTCAATGACAGCCTCCCCCCTCTCCGCAAACTTGTTCACAAAGTCGGCGAGCTTTCTGTCCTGGACCGTCACATTCCGCCCATCGGCAGCCACAGTGTACCTTGAATCTTGTTGGGGTGCTATTGCACATTGTCAGTTCAAATCTCTAGCTTATGACACACTCAGGTGAACACAAGAATACAACAGGTTCATCAATAATAGCCCAGGTACAGTCCACTGAAGGCTTGCAGCAGCTCGTCTCTGAGTTTGACATGCTCCTTCTGCGTGATTGCAAGCTCTCGGTCCAAGATTGGAAGGATCCAACACACATCACCAGGCCACAATGAGTGCTTGTGGCCTGGGAAGTCGACTACCTGCATGGTAACGCGCTCCGCACCTCTTTGCAGAATCCGAACGATCTTGACACCATAGTGACTTGTCGGTCCCAGTTGCCACAGCGTACCGTGCGACTTGCCGTCGGGGTGTTTATAACGGTGAACTTCAGGGTCGGGATGCAGGCTTGACCATGGTGCCCATCTAAAGCAGCTGCCATGTTTAATACGGAAGTTTGGACTACCTTAGCCATGAGGACCGAATCACTATAATATGTCCTTGCTGTAAGGGGTGCGGCTACCAGAAGCCTTTGTTAACTTACTACAATTCCCTGATAACCCTATATAAACCGAGCTTCCATTTCATTGCTCATCCTGTTTTCCATCTGATTCGTTATTACCAAAACCCTCCTCTTGCCCGTAATGAATTACTTCCGTATTATTTCTCCTAAACCTTATCTAGCACCCCCCATACCAATACCAGCCATCCATTGTCCCGAAGGTCCAGCAGCTTCGGCTGGGAGATGTTCACAAATTCCTTGTTGCAATTTTCGAAACAGCTGGAACTTCATATCCCTAGGATTTAGGGTTAAACCAAGGTTCGACTACGAATAATGGTCAACAAGGACCCAGTGCAACTTCTACGAAGGATGCACGTTCAAAATAATTTGGATGTCTTTCCCTTGCTTTGGTGAACGCATGCTCGTGGATGGTGCTGTCACTTGTTCAAGCCAAACTGTGGGCGGAAGGTCAGGGGAACTTATTAAGCAGGTTAATACTGGGAACTGCTGGGAATATTATAGCCCTAAACCCGAAACCCTAAATACTTCAAGCGGGCCACCCTGACCCCCAAACGCCGAGTGGTAGTTGCCCAAAATTAGGGACCCCAATATAGACCCCAAAATAATACGATCAGTATTATGGTGACCCCCAAAATTGTACCCCTAATTTTGGGAAACCCCAAGTACGGATCGCATTGCAGTTGAAGGCAAGTACGCTACAGCAGCTGTGCAGTGAGATTGTCTGCTAAGCAACCGTGTCTAAATCCGACATGCGAAAAGACGCTGCTTACTTGAAACTACTTCAACCATCTATGCTCGCAAGCAAGTAGCGACCAACAGCTATGTGGAGTGGCTACGACAAGATAAGACCGGAAAAGCCTGTACAAACTACGGAACTTGAGCAGGTTAGGACTTACAGTTTAGGGAATTAGGGTATTAGGGTTTGCTGTGAGACGGCGCAGTGGCGGTGATGAGTAGGCTTCCGAGATCACACATGAGTGCGCCGTTTTATGCGAAATGCAGCTATGGGCTGCTTGTTGCTGGCAATCTAACACATTCACCCACCCCACGCTATCTGAGGCAGCCAAACTTCAGGGTTTAGGGCCTAAACTCAGTTGGCTCCATCTCAGTCAACAACACACACTTACCTTCATTTTTTAAGTTGTTGTCCTTGCTGAAGGGATCCTGAAGAAGTCGTGGCTGAAATATGCAAGAGGCTGGAAAAAGCTTGCAAAGAACTAGTGGGCTGCCCCTGGTTTCTGAAAGGATCGATAGCCGAAGAAGCTGGGAGGCCCACCCCTTGCCCTTCACGGGTGATTGACGTTGCTAAGGCAACCAGTACTGGTTGCGGGGAGAACAGGTTCGGGTACCTGGCCTATTGTGAGTGCTACCGCGCCCGTGACTGTGCTACTGAAGCAGGTCCAGGTAAACTGTGCCATGCGCCACCCACCATCGTGCTGGGCGGCCCAAACCTTGAGTATTGCCAGGGTAGAATAATATTAACTCAAAACGAAGGCTACCACTCCAACCTCATGGTGCCTACCGGCCATGTTCATGTTGAGGCGCTCTCGTGAAACCCTTCTTTATGCATTTAGATAGTCGACAAGGCTCGGGCCCAATTTTCTTCATACCGCAGACTACTGTTATTTTGAAGGTGTTGCCATCCACTCGCCCCCAGATACCTGAGCATGCACTATTACCCTACAGGTCCAAGTAGTCAATAGTAATATTCTCCCCCAAGCCCCACAGTAAAATAGTTTGTTAGTTTCTCATAGAATATCCTAAGCACCCAAGTGTTGAGTAGCTGGGCCCTGAGGACTAGGTAATGCCTTCGAATGACCAGAAAAGGCTTGAATATACGATGCGGCAAGAACAGCAGAGACAATAAGCTTTCCAGTTTTTCAAACCCCGATATACTCTGTACGAGGCTTTAAACCCGACGAGGCCCATAACAGGGACGCAAAACTTGATAACTTGGCTCCACCACCAGGGGCCCGGGCAACAGCGCACACGACCTTGTGGCCGCCCTCCTTCATTCCATTGCCCATGAGACGTCACAAATTTAGGTCTGGGAGTTGTGGCCCACCAGTTTCTCAACAAAATTTGGGATCCTGTTTTGAGATGATGTTTGCAAACACCGTGTGCGGCTTAGATGTCCCAATGACACTGCCAAACACTCTATCCCTGAGGGTCCCAGTACTAATCACATTTTCCCCCAAGACCGCTAATACACTTACTACTACCGAGATCCTGCAAAATACCCAATCAAAATCATTGAGTACTTGGAGGCTGGGGGATCTATCATCCTGAGAAAGGAAGGGTGCGGGGTCTAGGGTCAGTCTGAGTCCTGCGTTGCCGGCGGAGCTTGATCTGCGATTTCCTTCGTCCACACTCATGTAGACCCGTGATGAATAAACCCCCTCCCCTTAGTTGGGGATTTCATACAGATTACTAAACACGGGTTTACACATTTGCAAAGTCAGGGGGACTTAGCCCTATAAGCAATGCGTTAACAATTACTGGCCTTAGTCATCCTGCTTTTGAGCCTACTGTCCCTACCCTCCATGTAGGATGCTCAGGAGAAATTGGTAGATGGTAGTTTCCATAAATAGGTGGACCCCAATATGGACCCCCAAATATTATAATCCTTGTTCTCGGGACCCCCAAAATGATACCCCTAATTTTCGGCTAAGCTCGCCACCGGCCGTGGTTGCACGCAGCCGGAGAATTCTGAAATTCATTCAAAAAGTTAAAAAGTTTCACTTTTCGCAAAAAGTTGCACTTTTCGACTTTTCGTGCAAAAATTCAAAAAGTCGAA